AAGCGACTCAATGGCACATAACAGCAACAACAAGAATATTTCAGCTACATTCATGAGAAAAGTGACTGATGGTAGCTTAAACATCTAGGGAAGTTATTTTATTCTCTTATGAAGTAGGAGATCTGGAACGAGATGCTTCCAGCTTTGTCTTAGAGAATCAGTGATACTACAAGACTCTTTGGGAGAAAGATGGGTAGTCTTCTCTAGTGAATTTGTAACCTTGGAGACCCACTGGAGGGTCAACTATGAGTTGCAACTGAAGAAGAATAGATGCTTTTGAACTGTGGTGTTGGTAAAGGATACGGAGGTAGCTCTGGTGGCATAGTCCATAGGAAGTTACTCTGGTGTTCCAAAGGCAGCACCTCTCCAGCAGTTTGAATCCAGTGGCTCCAAGAAAGAAAGGTAGACAAGTTCCTTCTGTGTGATTTATAGCGTCCTGAAAGCCTTGGATATTCAACGATGACTCGGTTCCTACTTGACTGCAATGAGAGTGACAGAGTTCAGAAAAAAAAAATGAGCATATCATGGACTGGCAAAAAAACAAATATATTTGTTTTGGAAGAAGTGCAACCAGAGTGTTTCTTAGAAGCAAGGACAGTAGGACTTTGTCTCCTGTATTTTGGGCCAGTTGTTAGTAGGGGCCTATTTCTGGGAAAGGGCCATATGACTGGAAAAGTGAAGGTCAGTAAAATGGAGAAAGACCCTCAATGAGATGAATTGGTGCAGTCACTGCAAAAATGAGCTTAAACATAGCAGAGATTTTGAGTATGGATTAAGCAGGGTTTCCATATATGAAAAGAATGTTCTCTGTTCTCGGAATGTCCTTAGTAAATGGAATTGCTATGAGTAATAGCTGACTCATTGGCTTCTGAGAACAACTGCTCTCATTTTCTCATATCCCCCCTGTGGTACCTTTTGCTGAATTTATAGAGAGCTCAGCATCAGTGCAACAAATTCTAACTGTAATTATTCCTTGTTGCATATTATTCACAATAATAATATTATTTTTATAATAAT